ATCCTCGGAAGTGAACAAAATTTAAGGGTTCACAATGCAAGAGATAATTATTGGAGAGATGCATGATCACGTGACACAATCATTCGCAACTGTAGAAATTATAATCTTACAAGAAAGAATTTTGGGTAAATTTTGTCTGCGATGGCTAAACTTTCAGCAAAATTTTACATATTTCATTAACATTTATTTAATATTATTTACATCAATGAACTTCCATTTAATTTTAAATTAGTCATTAAACACAATTTTAATTTCAAAATTTATCGTCGTCTTCACATTAAATCTTCTGCATAAATCATATTCGTTGCATGACATGCCAATATATCACCATGTCATATCGTAATGATGTTAAGATACAAAAAAATCGTAAACTTGTTGGGATTTCTGTTGGATTTAATTTAGCTACAAATGTGTTTGAATGAAGAAGATAACTTTTTCAAAGAAACAAGTTTGGTCATTAGGTGTTTGGGGTATATGTTTTGGTGCCTTTCCGAGCTAATAGCTGAGAAAGTTGAAGATAGTCAAAACTACTAAGAGTAGAATTTTTTTGATTATCGTCATTTATCGTAGTTTCAGTATGAGTCATCGATTTTGAATCTTGATCATGTTGAGTATTTTGGATACGTTGTCCCCCTCGATAGTTCAAACTCTAAGGGAATTAGGTTCTTATCTTTAATTATATTAGATCCTCCCCTTTAAGATGAGATTTTGAATAATAGGAAATATATTCAAAAACTGTACACCCATGGAGATGAGGACTTTTCTAGAGGGTGGATGGTGACATTACAACCATTTTTCGCTGGGGAAGGCTCGATGAACCTGGTAGCTGTTGGATCAAGTTTGGATTATTATTATTATTATTATTATTATTATTATTATTATTATTATTATTATTATTATTATTATTATAGTACACATGTACGAATATTACACTGTCAAATAGTGTTAAGGGATAAAAATTCACATAAAATAAAATTGAAAATGTTAACCAACTTAAAAGGACTTGGACTATTTGTCTTGTTAATGTTGACATTTTAAAATAGAATCTAAAATCTTAATATGATATCAAAGTCCATTAAGTTTCAATGAGCAATTTAATCCGATTAAAATTAAGCCCTTGGTTGAGCCCTATTTTTTACGAAAGATGTATTTTAAACTAGTGATTTTTTCGAGAATATATGATTAAAAAATAAAAGAAAAATTTTTGATTCACATGTAAAATTATTTTATTGAAAAATGTATGATTGAAAATGAATTTTTTTAAATATGGGAGCCAAATGTAAGCTAAAAAATGAGCATAGGGATTTCAACGTTGCAAGATCAATATGCTCAAAAGTGCCACCATCTTGTGGGAATATATTTAGAGATAAAATTCTTATCAAATAAAGCTGAAAATATAGTCCAATGTATGGACTACCCTTTTTTAAAGGCCGTTCGGGAGCGATTTTTCACCCCCTCTCAAAAAATTGATTTTTTGACCGTGATTTTACTATTTTAGCCGTAAAGTTTGAGTTCTTCTCTCACAGGTGGCCCATACTTTTCTCCTAACAGTCAAAAAATCAATTTTCAAAATTGCTCCCAAACGGGGCCTTAATAATGTTGACCTTTTGAAATAAATTTTCAAATCTTAATAAACCGCCTAAGATGAATACAATTAATTCCACCAAAGTGTAGCACTTCTATTGGAATTTTAGAATCAAGAATTCCAGAAATTTTATTTTATTTAGGGGTGGATATGGTTTCATATGGTTCTAGTTCCAAGATAATCCAATCGAACCATGAACCAATGATTTTTTTGATAATAGAACCAAATGATTTTTTTAAATATATGAAACCAAACTGAACCGAACCGTACGATTCTGGTTACACCAAACATTTAGGAAGTTCAAATTTCAAATATCGAGATAAAAAAAAAAGTCATAACTAACAAACAAAATATATTCATAATTTGAATACACAAATCAGTTTTCGTTTTTATACAAAAAATTATTTAATAAGTAATAGTAATAATTCACTAAATTAATTGCAGTTGTTTTGAAGTCACACTCATGCAATAAAAAATGAATTATCAAAATTTTTACAGTCCATTTTTACAAGCAACATTAACCATTTAATATTTCATAAATGTTTATTGGATTTTCCTCTATTTGTGAATAACACAAATAACTCATCAAACATTCAAGGTATAAAAAAAAAAAGGTTTAGAGACTTTTTAATTAATTGACCAATTTCATTTTTCGGTCCTAAATGACACTCCACTGACTTGATGAAATGCGGTACCAGTCTATTGCAACATTGTGTATATTAAAAAGGAGTGAAGGAGAAATAATTCAACTGAATACAAAATTAGGGTGCAGACAACTAATGAGTTATTTATCTCTAATAATCCAAAACTGATTAATAAACAATATTCAATTAATGGGTTATTTCCAATTAATATAAAATTAAGATCTCCACTAATTATTATTTATAAAATTAAATATTAAGTTTGGTTCTTGTTCTGATTTTTGAACCAAAACAAAACCAAATGGTTCTCGGTTCAAAGAACAAAAATCATTAATTTTTTTTGTGGAAATTACAGAGGATATCGAATTTTTCCAACACATTTACAAAAATGTCACTTTTTTTTTTTTACATTACAAAAATGTTATTTTTTTCACATATTTGCCCCTTTAGGTAATTTGAAATGCCCTACAGGTCCCAATTAAATGAGAATTGACTAGTGAAGAGATTGTACAATCTAATGTCAGGTTGAAGAATAAAAAATACCTACCAAAACCCAAGAACACGTTTCCTAAAGAAGAAAAATATCTATCATTCCCCTTAACAGTTGATCTTCTCCCCTTAACGCTAACTCCTTAACTCTCTCACTGTGTATCTCTTTTCTCTGATTTCAAATCAATAGCATCGTCGCCCACCGCCTTTCTACTTTCTAGCGCCGACGAAGTCCACAAGACTACAACAATCCAGTGCTGTCGTCTGTGGTGAAAGAGCAGGGCCGGCCCTGTCATAAGGCCAACAAGGCCATCGCCTAGGGCCTCAATTTTTTTGGGGCCTCGTGAGAAAAATCTGGCCATATCAGTCACAATCCGCCTAATGCTTAAACAAACCTATGGATTTTAGTTAGAAATAGATGGAGAGAAGCGTTGATTTATACTCCCCAGTTTCGCCAACCACCGCAGCCACTGGAGGGTTCCAAGAAGGAAGAGTCCGCCGCCACCACACTTGCCACTGGAGGATGCCAAGACAGAAGAAAAGAGGTTGTTAAAGAAGGAAAAAAGAAGAAGAGAAGGTCTGTTACGTTTCCATTTTCTTCAATAGTTTGCTTAACATACTGATTTGTGCCGTCAATAAATCCAAATAGATGTTCCCTTTATTTTCTATTTGGGTACTTGAATTTCTAGGGTCTATCCATTTAAAAATAATAAATTTCCTTGAAAATTGCTCATTTTTTCTTTTGATTTACACATATTATAGGTTTTTGCTAGTGCTAAAGATATTAATCTGCTAATTGGCATTTAATGAAGGGAAAAAGAGCAAGAAGTAAGCAAAAGGCATTTTAGGTAGGTGGATGGAGGTATGATTGATTTGTTAATTTAAAATGCATTGTGTTCATTAGAGATTTAAAATGCAGTGACGGAGTCAGAGAATTTTGCTGTCGGATTAAGGAATACTTGACCCTGGTTTTTGCACTTGTTATTTGTGGGAACCTGTCATCTTTGTCTTCTAATTTTTTACATTTTTGTGCTAAACTATCCTTCTTTGCTGTGGTTAATTATTGCAAAAGATGCTGATTGGTTAGGTTTGCAAGCGAATTGACTATTTTGAGATTCCTTTTTTTTTTTTTTTTTTTTTTTTTTTTTTTTTTTTTTTTTTTTTTTTTTTTTTGGGGGGGGGGGGGGGGAATGTAGGAATAGAAACTTCTATTCGTTGAACCTTACATAAGAGTCGTGGGTATAGCTATTCGAAGTGACTCTTACAAGCCACTCTATTTCTTCTGATAATTTCAATTGTCCTTCTCTAGTGTTATCTCATTTTCTTTTATTCTTGATGGTTGTGCTTAGCTAGAGCTAATCATAATACTATTCATCTTCAATTCAAGTTAGTAAGAGAAAGAATATGCAAATGAGAATCTCTACTGCTTTAAATTCAATAAAATGTATGTTGTATAAAGAGTGCAAATTAGAATCTTATGTTTCTTCTTTGTTATATTTTGGTTTTATTACTCTGTTTTTGTCTCTGTTGAGTGCTAGTGGCACCTATTAAATCTTCAGCTCCATCTAATGAATGTATTAGTGCTGTATTAATGAACTTAAGAGATTTTCATTTTTTGCCTTTCGTTTAGAATATTCTCCATCCTCACTAGCCTTAGTAGTATATGATAGCTTGTATAAAACTTCGAAATATCACTGCTAGAATTCCTAGGGATCAACAAGTGGTGGATTGAAGCTGCCAGAACACATTAAAACAATTGGAAAAAGATAATTCTTCCAACCTTGAATTGACTAGTCTTTGGAGTTTGGAGAAACTGGAGTAAAGACATACCTTAATATAATTGTAATAGGCGTCCTATTGGGATTTTGATCTTGTAAGTAACTGTGCCTAGCTGGTATAGATATCACAATTGTAGTAAAAATCGATATTTCATGAAAGGTTCTTTTTCAACCGTCGACAAGCGGTCTGAACTTGCTCTTGTGACATATTTTCTCTCCCTTTTCTTAAGTAGTGCTCCTCTTCTAGATAATAATAATAATTTACGTTCAAAGGCCTCATATTAGCTAGGTGAGTTATGTTTAAGGGCCTCATATTAATTAGTCGGCTAGGACCTCAAAATTTTCAAGGTCGGCCTTGTGAAAGAGTCACGTTTAATTTCAATTCTCTCCCCTCTTTCTGTCGAATCGTTTGAAGCTGAGCCATCGACTTTCTTCCAAAAAAAGTGAGAATGTCCATCGCCGATGATTTGCGAGGTTAAAAACCTAAGTTTTGGTTTTTTTTTTCCTTCTGCATTTATAATTTTCTAAACCACCAAGAGCTTCATGATTTACAGGATTGCTATAGAGAAAAAAAGACCCAGAACCCACCCCAAGAGGCATCGAAAACCCACGTTGAGAATCGAAGGAAAACGTCGATTTAAAAGAAGAAATAGGTAATCGTTCGATTCCAAAAACGTTCTCTATACTTTCTTGAAACTTGGGCTAGCATGCTGTGATTTACTTCTACATGCCATATTTTGGAAAGTGAATAAGCTTTTTGTTTGTGCTTGCTTGGGAGTTTGAATTAAGAAATGTTAGCTTTGGGTTAGAAAAGTGTCTGTTGGGGAAATTAAAGCAGGAGGTTCTGGTTCTCCCCCTTAAATCTAGCATATTTTCACTACATTATGCAATCTTCTTGTCACTAAAAAATTGTAAAAATTGGCCTTGACTAGAAATAATTTCAAAAATTAGAATCTTTATAAATAAAGAAAAAGAAGATGTTTTGGTGATTGAGGACTTGGGATATGATCTTTTAGAAGAGCTATTATCAAATAGTTGATTAATAGTTGAATTTGTAAGTAATCATAAAAATCTTTTACACGTGAAATAATGTCTATTTTCTTAATTTTTCATTTCCTACTTCGGTTCTTTCTTGAACACTGCATTCGAGAATTGTTTTGAAATCCATTCAAATTAAAGATTACTTCCCCTTAGTGTGTTTGCACTCCGAATTAATTAGTGATTTGAAGTGGAAATCTATGTGAAAAACATAGGTCATTCGATTCGAATGTTTTTCTCGATTTCTGATATTAGTTCCGAATGCGACGACAGCATATGATGAACTTCGGTTTATTTTTAATTGTTGGATACAAAATTTGTTTTCTATTTTTTCTTGGCAATTTATCGTAAAATGAAGTGTGAAGCTTACATCGATCATCGCTCATTAGCATAATGATTTTGTCATACTTTGTATCTCCTTTGAATGATTTAAATATTACTGTGGTATTTATTACATTTTCTGTGGATGTAAAAATGTATTTTCATTTCTTGATCATTATAAATTGGACCGAAGAGGATTCTTGAAATTCTATAGCTAATTACTGGCATTCTTTATGCAAGATGTATATTCTTTAGTTTTTAACTTGACATTTCTCTAGTTTAGCTAAGGAATGACGACTCGTTCCTCTTCATCACTCATTGGCAAACACATATAACAATCTGTTGATTGTGTTTATGCTTAGTCTACTTCATTGAAGTAAACAGACATTATGTTGCGGCTTCAACCTTGTTGTTTCGAATTTGACTCTTTCTCATTATGGAGTTTGAGTAATCATTTTATTTTATGTAGTAAAAATGATTGAGAACAACTTTGCAAAGTGTAAAGACAAGGATGATCGAAATCTATTCTATAAATAACATCATCATATTCAATATTTTTAGCATACAACTTTCTTCCACTTTGAAAATCATAACAGCCATGCATTGTTTGTGGTTAAAACTCATAACTTTTTGTAATTTCCAAGTCTTCTTAATTATAAATTCCAAGTCTTCTGGTTGCATTGATTTTTGTTGATTATTTGATGTGAAAATAACCTTGATTTCACTTACAAACCATATGTTGTATTTATCTGCTCAATTTGTGTTTCTGGACATGTGGTTTGTGCGAAATGAACTTATTTATTTCGAAATAAAGGAATTTTACGGACGTTTACAAAAATGATGTGAAGAAACTGAAAATTTTGAGATGAAAAATTGAAGTTCAGTTCTCATTTCAATTTCACAAAAGTACATTCTTAAACCGTGACTTGAAGTTATATGCGTAGTGCTCGAATGCATTTGGTAGAAATCTTGATTGACACTCATATCTTCGGTTCAAATGTTTATGTTATTTGTGTAATGTGGAGAAAACCTTGCTTTCACTTGCAATCCATTCGTTGTGGGTGGTACTCGCTGCATTCGGTTGGAACTGTCGATAGACACTTGAAAGCATCATTGTGGATTTCATGTGTCGTTGTGCTCGAATATCGAGTGAAAAGCTTTTGAATAACACCTGTAAGAAGAGAAAAATTAGATTTTTCGACAGTTCATCTATCGATAGTTGTTGCTCAACTGTCGTTCTCGACAGTTTGCCTCTGTAATTCTCGACAGATGAACCGTCGATGGATAAAATGTCGGGACCGACAGTTCAGTTCCTGCCTGCCTAGCCCTGCCCTACCAGTGGAAAATGTTATTTCTATGCAATATGCATTCAGATATCAGTATTCATTTTATTTTTTGCGTGCAACAATTTCTGAAGTTCAGTGGGCTGAATTAGGTTTATTTTATTCAGGTAATATGGTTGGTACTCATATGCATTTGGTGGAAATCATGTTTGATGTGGGCATATCCTCCGTTTCAATATTTATGTTACTTGTGTCATAACCTTGCTTTCACTTGCAGACATTGAGCTTGTGGGTGGCACTCGTTGCATTCGGGAGGAACTGTTGAAAGACACTTCACAACATACTTGTGGTTTTTGGTCCAGCATGCTGGTAGGAAGTTTATATTCTAGTATGACGCATTTATTTCTTATTTTATCTTTGTAGACATGGATTTCGAGCCTCTTATTCCAGAGAATGCACGCTTGCGGGGCCATGTATCGCAGAGAAGCAATCTGCGATATATAAAAATAGTCGTCGAACATTTTGACGAGCAACAGCGAGCAGACTTTCGCAACTCATGCCTTGGGTTCTTGTCTGAGGTTCCGGATCTCCAGTTCTCTGCCCAATTAATCCAACAACTCGTATTCTACTACATACAAACAAATAAGTGGCACGAACTGTGGTTTAATTTGTAAGGCCACCTCGCCAGGTTCGAAATTCAAGAGTATGCCCTTGTCACTGGATTAAGGTGTGGTCTTTTCTCGGATGACAATGTCATAGACCGAGTTCTTGACAAGAGGAGACTAAAGGACAAATACTTTAAACATGTGGATAAGATTTCGTGCGCCCAACTCGAGCAGACATTTCTTCGATCGTCAATGCCTCGAGCGGATCGATACAAGCTCGGCCTCGCTTTGATCATCGAAGGAGTCTTCAATGCTTCAGATAACAACGTTGGTATCGATATGAAGACGTTGTCGATCGTCAACGATCTAGAATTGTTCTTTTTGTATCCTTGGGGTAGAATCTCGTATGGACGTCTGATAAAGGGCTTTCGGGGCCATTGGGCAAGAAAATTTTTGAATGCGACGAAAAAGATGGAGAAGGCGGTTAGCTACACGGTCCACGACTTTCCCATTGCCATACATGTATTTTTATTTTACCTACTCATTATTTTAATGCAAATGTATTTCGTGGTTGGTTTCGTTGTGAACTCACATTCCTTTTTTACTGTAACAGATATGGGCGTTCGAGGCAGTGCCTGAAATTGGTGATCACTTCGGTCAGTGTCTTGGTGAATGTTCCCCATGGCTTCTCGGCTGGACATCAACAAAACAGCCGCAGCAGCGTACGAACGACACTTTATTCAAGAATGTACAGGTAAAAATTTATGTTACTTCTACGTTCTCATTCCTTCCATTCGTCATTATAGCATGTGGTGATTTCGTAACGAATATATTTATGTTGTAGCTACATGTGTACGCAACACTGCGTCCCACTGAAATCGAGCGTGGGCAACCTCATATCGTAACTCTTGTGCTGTTCAATGATCATCATGTCCCTGCGTTGGATGACCTTGCCAGGGACAGTGTTGCTCCGCAGTTCCAAGCAGAGCGTATAGGCACACCCAAAGAAGGCACCTTCGAGGATGAGACTTCTGATGAGGCCCATGACAGTGGGGGGACCAGTGGCGAGGAGGAGGAGTCAGGAGTCGATGAGAGCGGAGAGGCCGAAGGTGAGGACTCGGAGGAGCACGACAGTGGGGATAGTGATGGTGATCGAGTTCGACGAACTGGACAAATGGGGACTTTTTCCTCCCCCACGTGCATAGAGCTACTTCTCCCATGCAGGCACCGTCTACCTCTCATGTCCGACCAACTGCAACGGCTGGATCAAGCCTCACAATAGACGATGTTCAGGGCATGTTACTGGATCAAAGAATTCTGTTCGAAATGCAGCTCCGCACTGTGAAGCTCAAAATCATGCAGCACGTGTCCGATGAATTTAAAAAATTGAAGGACTTCATATCCACCATCGTCCCAGCATCCGGCTCTACAACCACTGCATGTGCTACTGATGTGGACCCCGAGCCCAGACTATTAGGTACTTCACCATATGCGTACTACAGTTCTTTATGACAATGTTCACTTTAACCCTGGTCACTGACGTGTTCTGTATGACAATTGTTCATTCATTTTAGACTACGGAGGCTTTGCAGGCCACCACCCGTCGCCTGACGGTATTGACGAAGACATGGGGATTGACAGGCAAGAGGAGGGCGGTGTGTGCATTAATGAAGAACACATGGAGCCATGCCTGGACGAGCAGGATATGCCACTGCCCACTGGAACCAAAAGTCTGCAAGGTATGTCGGTTACTTTTGAGCAAATTGATTAATTATCATTTCATGTGTTTCGAAAGTTTTGAAAATTGTTAAAATTCACTTTCCATTCGCTGTTTCATTGTTGTTTTGAACAGTAATAGCACACATTCAGCCGTGCCCGGAGGATCACCCCATGCCAGAGCCCTCTACAATCGAAGAAGTGCAACGTATTGCATTGTTTTTCACGATTTGAACAATTATTACTTCAAGCATTCGATTACTTTACAATTGTTCATTTGTTTGTTCATTTGTTGTAGTCAAAGGGGGCCACCACCCATCGCTGGGGACCGTGACAAAGAGCAGGACATGCTGCCTACTGGAACCAAACATCTGCAAGGTATGTGGGTCATTTATGAGGAAAACTTGTAGATTGTTGTTTCATGTACTTGGCATAATTTGAAAATTCCTAGAGGTAGTTATACACTGAAAATATTTCATTGTTGTTTTCGACAGACACAGTACACATTGAGCCATGCCCCAACAATGACCCCGTGCTAGTGGTCGCTGCAACGGATGAAGTGCAAGGTATTGCATTATTTTTTGACAATTGAATTTATTTTTCGTTTCATTTGCTTACGTTGCAACTTTCCCAGTTCCCGCCAATGTAGCCCGACCAGGACGGAAAGTTACGACAAAGAGACGACGATCGACACGACTGCGACGTCTGGCACCTGCTACCAGGACTCCGTACACGAGGGGGTGCACAAAGCAAAAACATAAGTAACTGTGAATAAATTGCCGAACATAGCATGACGATGGGGTTCAGCATGCTTTTGCATTTTTTTGACGTCATTTAGGTGGTGAAGGATGTTTGTTAATTGGCTTGATATTGGTGCCTTTTTCATTCATTTTTGTAATTTAGATATCAATCAGGCTACTTGGGAAGCATGGTGACACTTAGACGCATTCCTTACATTTTGCAATTCCCGTGGTGAATACCTTGTCACCGTTTACCTTTGCTGAAATTATTGCAGTGTTACAACTTGTATAAGTTAACCGGCTTTAGTATTGTATGTGAATCGTACTTACGGTACTTCATGCCTTGATTCAATTTTTGTCAACGCTCGTACATTGTACTGCGCAAAAAATTATGTATGTGTACATTTTACGAATATCCATTTACGAGTAGATAGCGGGATTGAATGTCATAGTGCCTTAGTAAACTATAGATTGGATTAAGATGAGGACCCATTAAAAGTGCCAAAGTCATGACTTCCATGGTACAACTAATTGACAAATGAGTTTATGTATATTCCCTTGTCCTTCGTATGTTATTATGTGGGTTAACATGATGAGTCTGTTTTGTGAGAAACTGTAGCATTACAACCATGGTGCAACTAACAAGCTGGCAAATGAGAAGTAATTTGTTGCAAGAAACCAGATAACATGAATTTTACACATCATTGAAGTATTCTAGTCTCTGCCAATGCCATAGTAGTTATGGTACAATGGGGGATAAAGGTACACTTATTATATTCCACCATCACACCAATTGCTTTTCAAATTTACTTAGAGATTGAACTTGATGGTTGGGTAGATAATGAAGTAATTACTTCCTCCTTTCAGGATGATTATAAATAGCAGGAGATCATTGTTGCTTACAAGCAATTTTGTAGTCAAGGTATTGTGCCACTTTGAACTTACCTAAAGAGCATTGTGACACTTTCAACGTAGTTGAACATAATTGTGGTAAAAAATAGCTACTTCTATTTATTCTTCTTCATTTATTTTGCAGTTTACAAAATTCGAAGTTATATGATCTTTACTGAAATGCACGTTTTCGTCAACTGTTGAGAATGAATAAAACGTCTGTCGGGCCCGACAGTTCAACTAGGCGGGCCATTCAATTTTATAAGTTCCTTGCTTTTCAAAAATTGAAAATGGTGGGATTGTCCAATACAAGTGTCTTAGTGTAACATGCTATTGTAGATATTATACATTTCTCATTTTTTACAAGTAACAAGTATTTCCAATACATTTATACTTACATATTGAATGCATTACAACCATTGTCTATCAAATTACATTTCAAATGTCATGAAAGCTGTTGTGAGACTTCCATTTTGAAACAGGTAGTTGATACGAGATAATGGGTTCATCCACCTCCAGCAATAAAACATTCAACTCCAATATGCATCCGTCGATACTGGGTTCATCCGCTGAATTTCCTATCGTTTTATTGTCAGACAATGAGGATGTAAGAGTTGAACAGCATGGTGCCGAGTTCGATGAAGTGTCAAGTGCAGAATCTTAAGTCACCGAACAGCGTTCTCGATCAAGTCTTCGAGGTCAGGGGTTCGGTCGAGTCATCGTCCGACTCGAATGAGTGGGTGGCTAATGTTCCACCTCCAGAAGTAATTGTCATTAGCTCAGATGAGTCTGACGGGGAAAGTGGGGGAGATTCTTAAATTTTCAAAAGCAATGCAAGTGTGCAATAAATGGCCCTTTTGTAGGAAAATATGTTTAGTATTTTGTGGTATGGATGATTTTGGTCACGTTCTCTGGATACATGCAAAAACTGCATCTCCATAATAGGCAACCGCAGTAGTGTAGGTTTTCAAGCCGCTGTTGTTCCCAACTGTCGAGAATTACAGAGTCCATCTGTCGGGAACAACATATGAACTGTCGAGACGTAATGTTGGTGTTTTGTTTGTTCACTATGGTCTCATGAAAATCAATTTTCCATTTCGACAAACTGTCAGCCGAAGCTAATGAAACTTCTATGATCAGCTAAGTTTATAGTAAGAAAAAGGTATTCATCTCGTTTGTGATAATGGAACTGTAATGATCGATACTTTGCTTGCGGAACATAACAACCAAATTTACATTGGCATACGATAATAATAACAGATTCATAAAATAAGTTGGGAATGAATGTACAATGCTTATTTAAATTAAGTTTTTCGAGGATTACATTTCACAACCACTTTTACACATCACGCTTGTTCAAGTGGCTTGTGATACAATAGGGTTTGAACATGTGGTCCGGTTATGACCAAGTCTCCCATATCGAGTGCATTTCCTCAGTTGGGTAGTGGACTCGTATCTAGCTCGCTTACGTCACGTCGGTGGTCTACCTAGCGGACGACGTACAATTGGTGGCAAAATATGAGTGCCTAGGATTTCATTTGGAACAACCCAATCCACTTCCCGTGTAACGGGATATATGACTTCCATATAGGCACCCCTCCAGTATTCTGATGTATAGTACGGAGAGTATAGATCGTATAATGACTTACCACTCAGGGTAGCACCACGAGTTGCATGAGCACGTGGCATACGATTTAGTTGAAACTCACGACACGTGCACGTGTTATCGGAGAAGTCCACTATCTCCGTATCGTTGGATATTTCAACCTGGGTCAAGCTGTTTGTCAACTCATGGGCTCGAAGCCTAGTACCAGCTTCAAATGTTGTTTGTAACTCGTTCTCCATCATCGACGACAATATAGTACTGCATGTGGTTGCATTGGTTCGACGTTCGTAAAACCACTTCTGCATTGTTTTACGAATGTGCTTGACCAAACACATGATTGGCAACGAATGAGCATGTCTCAGCATTGAGTTCAATGATTCTGCGTAGTTGTTTGTCATAATGTTGTATCGGTCGCCCATGAATAGTGCTCGTGACCAGAATGAAAAATCGGCTTTCTCCAAATACCTGTAACATCTTTCACTGACCCTACGAATCTGTCCCATTAGTTGTTCGAACTCTTCGACCCGATAAGTTGTAGCAGCTCGTTTGAACAAGAATATTGAACTTGCGTTAAAGTGCCGCTAAATTAGATTCTTCTCCACATGCCACATACAACAACAATGATGAGACAAAGGAAATAAGTAAGTAATAGCTCTTTCGATACTTCTTTTCCTGTTCGAAACAAATACAAGTTCATCTAAGTCGCCTATAAGATCTTTCAAGTTAGACATAAACCACATCCAAGATCGGTTAGTTTCGAAATCCATAATCCCCCACGCTAAGGGATAAATCTGTTTGTTGGCATCTTGGGCAGTTGCCAGTAAAAGTGTACCCTTGTATGGACCTTTCAAGTGACTACCGTCAACGCAAACAACGGGCCTCAAGTACTGCATGTAACCACGAATGCTTGCACCAAAAGCTAGAAAGAAGTAATGGAATCTATCGTGCGAATCAAGTTCGATGTGAGTTACCATCCCCGGGTTATTCTCACCTAGTACGTGACAGTATGAAGATAGTTTCTGAAAACTATCCTCCGGTGTCCCATGCAGCATATGTAAAGCGGTCACCTTCCCCCTACGTGCTTTGCTGTAACTTATTTGGACACCGAGCTCACGTTCCACGTCACGTGCAATAGTGCTCGGATCATACGATCGGTTCGGATTATCCAATTTTCCCAAAATGTGCTCGGCAATTACAGAACTCGTCACATGTCGATTCGCGTTACTGCGAAAATCGATGGAACATGTGTGAACATTATTGAATTTACGGATCACAGAGATTGCAGATTGCTTCACAGTAGAAGCACGTAACATCCACTTGCAACTGCTGTCAGCGCATACAACGGTTAACATCTTCATGCTTGACCGGCTCACCCGAAATTGGAACTTATTTTTCAAAGCAAGTGCACGAATTTTCGAGTAAAACTCTTTCTTGCTGAAGAATATTTCCTTTTCGATAAGATCGAATGTAGTCACAGTTCTCATAAATTCATATCCATCCGAATCGTTGGAATGTGACAAAGAGTGCTCGTCGTCGACGTCAACAGAATTAGTAGCCTCTAAATTAGGTGATGGGATATCCAAGTTCTCATCTAATGGTGCAGTCCCGTTATCATACTCATGTGTTTCAAGTGCATTATTGTTTGAGACACTATGCATTCGATTCACCAAATCATGTTCCACGTTTTGCAGAACATCTACCGCCGCAAACGAAGGATCTTGAAAATTTGCATCCCTTCCCATGTCAACACTTGGGAGATCGGATTCCAAAACAGTAACGCAGATAGCAGTTTCCTTATGCACTGATATGTATTAATTTAAGTCTTCATTGTTGCATATTTCGGCCGGAGGTATATTCAAGTTAGGAACTTTGAACTTCAATTCAATTTGAGCGCGGGGATCAAGAATACCAAGTTTCTCCTTCAACCTTAACATAAGTTCGGCTATGGTAATACTTGTTGGCACCAGAATGGAAGTATTTTTGTCCCCTCTCCACTTCCATTCGTCATCCGCATGAACAAAATTTTCCCTATACGACACGATGAATCTCAAATGATTATACATACCTGAAATGTTGGGATTGCAATGGTAACAATTCAGAATCAATAGGTTGGCATTTAATAACATGAAAGTCGTACTTCATAATACGTAAATCAGTTCAATAACAAAAGGTCAAATCAAGGGTTTCTATCATTTTGAAGTATCCAAATTGAAAGTAAAATTGTATAACTCGGCAGTTTGGAAATGTTAGGTTCGACATCTCAAACGTCTAACCCGACGATTTGTAAATGTCGAACTCGACAGTTTAACTGTCGAGAATGTCGGGAAGCAGACGACAGTGAATTTCTCAGGTTTCTTCAACACATCATATTAAGTGTGGTCATTATTATTCACCTATCAAATGACAAAATGAAAATGGCATATTAGCCTTGTCATTAAAGAGACCTTAATGGTGGTAATGGAAGAAATTACTCAATGGTGATAATGACATTTTATTAAGGATTCAAAAAAATCAAACAAATGCATGCATAATACTTTCAAATTAATTTCAAATAAATATGCCAATATTGTATTTAATATGTACAAATACAAAGCTATAAAAGTAAAATAAAATAATTTGTAATTGCTAACCTCTCAAAGTGGATGTAGAATGCAACGCAAATGTTTTCTTGATCAATGAAAATGAAGAAGATGGAAAAGAGGTAGGGTTTCTTGTTTATGTTTCGTTTTCTAATTTATTTGATAATTTTTTATTAACAAAAATTCATATTAATCAATAAAATATACATTTATCCATGTTTTGTATATATAAATTAAATGATCACATCAAGTCAATGCTTTTCCTTCAAATCAAGCATTTAATGCTACTACAAATGTGTGATTAAGGGTAATTTGAACTTTTCACCCCAAAAATGTGACATTTTTGCTTACAAAAAGTGAAAATGACAATTTTTTTTTAACTTTCATTTTTTGTGACATTTTTATAAATTCCCCTTTTTTTTTATAGAACCAAATCGAACCACTTGGTTTGGTTTGGTTTGGTTTAGTTTAGTTTGGTCTGGATATTTTGTCCATCCCTAATTTTATTTATTTATTTTTTTATGATGGGGAAATCCGCATCCGCTACTCTTTGGGTGCGCACTGGATAAACCCTCGCACTGACGCAATAGCCTACAAACCACGCCATCTAGGTAAACCGTACTAGACAAACCCTATGCGATAAACTCGACTGAGAAGGTGTTGGTAGGGAAAATTGAACTCGTGACCAAAAGCTTCCGTGCTTACCTACTCCACCAACTCGGCCACCCCATATGGAACTATTAAAGGGCTTCTTACCAATAGGTCTTAGATTCATTCATTTGAGGTAGCAATGCTCTAGTTACCTTCAGCAAGCGTCTTTCTTTTCTTTTCTTTTTTTTGCTGCCCCATTTTATCCGGAGTGTTAGCACATGAAGATGGGAGTTAATTAAATGGATGGTCAAAACTTAACCCCAGTCCCTACGTTACGACTTGTTCACAAGAAAAAAATTTGCCAAATACTCATTCATCTATTCAAAACGTTTCTCTCATCCATCCATCGTTGTAGTAAAATACATTAACCCATTTGACGAAACTGCCATGTGTCTGAAGGAAATCAGACATATCACATTGACAACGCTAAATTATCTAATTAATTAAATGAATGTTCATTAAATTTATTTTAGGTCACTAATTGCTAACTGAACCCCTCCTCAAAAAATAAAAAAAAGGTTGGGGTGGGGAGGGGGGTTATCCATTGCTTACTCACTATTTCAAGCTGTTACACGTCCATGGTCGAAGTGAAATCTGTTTAGCACCATAAGTGGATGACTTTTTTTAAGACACAGAATATATACCTTAAACTATGAATGCATATGTTCTAGAGTATTGATGGTAATGTTGTAAAATATATAAAAATAAGTTTTAATCCTTCAACCATTTAATTTTCAGTTTTAGCAAAATAAAAAACCCTTAATGTTGAAATGTAACTTGTGTGTAAACTGGTAATTCCATGAATGTGGGGGTTAAAATTTTTCCTATAAAAAGGATTGATTTTAATCCAACATAAGAATGAATCATAACTTATTGGATAAATATTACATACAATTCTTACTATATTTCTATATCTTGGCAACTCTATGAAAGGCTCGTCCACTTATCTCCCCATGGTCGTGTTCATAGAAGAAGAGCTACATGAGTTTTATCTTAAAATCGTGTAATGTCGAAAGAACCCGCACGAAGGGGAAGCAATGTAACTTTAGGACAGTGTCTTCAACGTACTCCTACTTCAACAAGTATTCTAAATATAATCAATTATTTGGTTATAATTTATTGTTATGAAAATAATATTTTGCTAATGTGTTGAATAACAATTTGTGGATCTATTGGTGGATAAAAATTATGAAAGTGTGAAAAATATGTGCACTAACCATCTCCACACAATGTTGGATCCTATCTAAAGAGATGTATGGTAAAACGTATACTCACTCTATTCAAATTGGATATCTTTAGAATGTTGGGGTATTTAAAAATTTCAAATAGATGCACCTTACATATTTCGTTGTCAAACTTACTCTTAAAATGTGTTAAAAATTAAATTGTAGATTTGCAGGTGAAATACAAGAGCTCAATGGATGCATATGCTCAAACATGTTACTAGAAAGTCAATTTCCAAATTTCATATGTTTATCGTATTTTTATTAAATGTGTTATTGACATTTTGAAAATTTTAAGAAAACTTTACAAGTGTTCAAATTGCAAGCGGAGATTAAAAGTTTGTAAATTGAGGTTACCAAATTATTGTCCATGATAGATATAAAATAAATTATAGTCCAAAATGAACATAATAAATCATCGAGGGGGACGAGCTTAAGCCCCATAAGGTAGTTACCTCCAGGAGTATCCCAACCTTTGTGATTGGAGATCCCATAAAGAATGTTCAATGTGGTAGAAACAACTCATACCGCGTGACTCGTAATAGTACTATATTATTTATGCTCATCTCTATAGTGATAGTGCTAATAATAAATGTGATGTTAGGAATGATATAACCCTAAATGAGTATCGAGACGAGAATTATCACGAGGTGTGGGTCATGCACATCCTTTGAGGGCTCACCTATGTAAGAATTGCCATGAGGTTTTGGCTATGTGATTGAGCTATTCCCTAGAGACTCTTACTGAAATCAAGATAAGAGCACATGACAATTAAAAGTGCTACCGCTGTGAGCTAGAGCCTAAATCGGTACTGTGTGTGGGACAATTGAAGTTTGGTCAAAAGGACTTAATTCAAGGTTTAGTCTATTATGACTCCCTCAAATGGAAATTGTTATTACTAAGTGAGATTCAAGTCCAAAATACACCTACACCTATTACACAGTATAACGTTGCCACTATATATATTATATATTTATCTATTTTGAAAGTTTAAAAGTTGTGGGGATTGTTGTAAGATATATAAAAATATGTTTTAATCTTTCAACAATTTAAATTTCAGTTTCAATAAAATTAAAAACCCTTAGGCCCCGTTTGGTATCCATTTTTTTCAAAATGCATTTTCACTCTTTTTTTTCAACCACACATTCTTTATTAAAATAATATTACACGTAAATAAAAAAACTTTTCCTTATTTTTCAACCACACATTTTTCATTAATTTACTATTCTAAAATACATTTTTACAAGAAAACGGGTATCAAACACCCTCTTAATGTTATAGTGTAACTTGTGTATAAATTGGATATAATTCCATGAACGTAGGGGTTAAAATTTTTCCTACAAAAAGAATTGGTTTTCATACAACAAAAGAATGCACAACTTGGAAAATAAACATTCTATACATCTCTTACTATATTTCTTTATTTTAACAACTCGATGAGAGGCTCGTTTACTTATTTGTAACACCCCGATTTTTTCTTAGGGTTTGTTTGATATGGTACATTTTCCATGGAAAATTTCCAACTTTTTGTAGTGTTTGATGTGTAAAATTTTCTAGGCAATTTCTTTTTCATTTTCTACCCCACGTGATGCATTTTCCATGAAAACAAGGAAAAGCAATTCTCACCAATCCAACTTTATTTTTATTTTATTTTTTTATTATTATTTTTTGACAATGGAAATAAATTCTAGGAACAATTGTAAAATAAGATATCCTTAAATTAACAATTTTTATATAAAACAAAGCCAAACGAATACTAAAATATATATAATTTTTGGATCTTATTTTTTATTTTTTATTTTTTTTTTGGTAATGGGAACAAATTCTAGGAACAATTGTAGAAGTGGATATCCTTTAAATTGACAATTTTCATGAAAAACAAAGCGAAACGAACACCAAAAGACATTTTTATTTTAACATTTTTCAAGTGAAAAATTATACCAATCAAATAATATTAATTGACAATTCCTACTAAAACAAATTTTAGATAATTCAATTTTCTGAAATTCGTTTTCTTTTTACCCAAATTTCATCTTCCTAATCAAACAAACCCTTACCATTTTTGATATGGACCTAAATTTAATATTGATCATTTAGCAAATGAAATAGTCCATGTCTAGATTTTTTGTCACACTAAAAGTCCAAAAGTTAAAAGATAAGTTATTTCTTATGTATTTGTATAGAAATTATCGTAAGTTATTTATGTCAAATATTTAAGTATTTTAAAAATTAATAAAAATATATCAATGTTATACTCGTTATGTAGTTCGTACTAAATAACATAAATTGGCTAAAAAGAAATATTTTTAGACTAGTTATACCCGAGGTATGATGATAAAAAGAAAGTATTTTAGATTCTATATTTTATTAACATAAAAATGTAAATAATGATAAAATGGAACAGATTTCACTACGGTTGCTTGGATTTGAAAAGAATATTATAACTTAAACATATTTAAATCCCTTAATTTTGGTAATTGATATAATTAACCCATAATATCTTAAAGAAACACGTTTGGCATTAAATGGTAAAGTCGAGAAGTTTGAAAGTGGTTACTGGGGTTACGTTTTTGTGAATTATATATATGTATATAGAAGTTAGAATTTTCTTTTAGAACATAAACTTCATTTTCTAAGTTGATATATATATTATTTATTATTCTACAAACATTTTTTCAGATTCATTTGGTATCAAATTGAGGTAAGAATACATCGTGTAAAGTAGTAAATTCTTATATCTTGATATTTATATAAATTTTGGCATGAAATACTCCAAGGCCTTCGGGTCGACTGCTACGTTAAATCTTACCGGATAGATTGTTTTGTCAAAAATATTAAATCCTAAGGGATGAACCGTTTGGTCAAATATGTTAAATCCTACAGGATGTGGGGATTCTTGAGAAATTCTCTGAGCTCTAAATTTAAGAAATATCGATATGTTATGTCATTTTTATATTTATATCACGTGAATAAAAATGTACACGTATTCTTACTGAATATTTTTCAAAATAGTCACTCTTTCTAAATTTTCAGATTAGAAGAGGTTGTGTGGACGAGTGGAAGATTGACCGAGTTATGCTTATGGGGTTGCCAAGTAAAGTTTCCAAAAAAAATATAGTTGTCAACTTTTATTTGTAAAACATCTTCATATTAAATTTTGTGCACATTGTTTAATAGCTATTTTTATGCATTTTTAACACTTAATGAAAGTGATATTTTCGTTTAAATTAAACAAAGAAGATGTTGGTAACACCTCGAGCTATTTTTATTTTAAAAAAATAATAAAAATGAAAAAGATTTCGGGGCGTTACATTATTTCCCTATGGTTATGCCCATAGAAGAAGAATCGGCTCTAAGCTACATGAGTTTTATCTTGGAGTCGTGTAGTGCCGAAAGAACTCATATGAAGGGGAGGCAACATGACTTTGAGATAGCTTCTTCGACGTAACTCTCAAGACTTGTTTTTGTAACCCTATTCTTATTTTATATTATTGCTTAATTATGTTGATATCATTTAATTGATTATGTTAATTGATAAATTTATCTACACACAAATTAGCCATTTTTCCAAACAGGTAATACCTTATTTTATGGTTATACATCTAAGATATAGGTATTCATATCTAACATTAAGCCCTCATTTGGCCCCCATTTTCTAGAAATGAAAATGGGTGAAATAGTATTTTTTTGAAAAATGAGTGCTTGAAAAAAAAAAGGAAAAATTTTCGATTTACGTGTAATATTATTTTATGAAAGATTGTGTAGTTGAAAATAGGAAAGAGAAAAATGAAATGTAATGTAATGAAATTTAATGAGGGGCCTCCATTTTGTCGTAATAAAAATGGTTGGAATAGTATTTTTTTGAAAAATGAATGATTGAAAAAAAAATGAAAAGTTTTCG